AAATAGTCCAATAACAATAGGGAAAAAATTGTCAAAAATTATTCCAAAACAGATTTTTATAAGCAAGTACTTTAAAAATTTTACAAAAGCAATAATAAAAGGGTTTTTTTTAAAAAAAAAAAAAAAAGAGACAACTGCAAAGCATAAAATAAGATAAACTTTCAGTTTATTTAACAAAATTAGCGTAGCCAAGATATGAAAACTTGATAAAGGTAAAAAATGAAAGTAATAGACCATTCTCAACTGGGAGAGAGGAGGTGACATGAAAACCACCCTTGAGTGGGAATTCTGGGGAGACGAGGGTGGTGGTGGTGTAGGTGTTTAATTTCCCTACATCTTTCCAGAAAGACAGCACAACTAAGGATAATCAAAAAACCATACAACATGTACAACCAAATTTGGTGACAAGGTGTGTCACCCTGAAAGCCAAAGTATGAGTGAACAGGGACAAATCACCAACAGCTACAAAACCTGTGTGGTATCAGAATGTAAAAAAGATGCAAGAAAAAGATATAAAGGACAGAGGGAAACAACAGAGTGCCTTACAGACTGAGGACGTGAGGACGCAAAATTCCTACGAGAACTCATGGGGAAGCATGGCAGGCCAATCTGAGAAGAGCAACTGAGACTGGGAGACGCTGCGTGCATTCCAGTTTACAATTCAGTGCAAGGGGTCACAGTACAGTTTAACTCTGGAAACTAACCAAAACTCTTCCCAGGAAAAGCTCAACACTGGAGAAGAAACTTCTAGAATTTAAACTGAGAAGGATGGGACAGAAAGGTCCTGGTAAAAAGGGACAGGGAAGTAAAGGTGAAAATCTCAAAGTACAAGGCCATACTTTTTCCTCTGGGAAAAGAACAAAAGAGTCATTAGGCTAGAAAAACGGTCATGATCCACCCCCACCCCCTTTAGTTATAATCACCGCTGTATTCCCGAGTCTGAAGAACACTAAGCATATTCTAGGGACTCAAGAAGTATTTGTTGAAGAAAGAATGAATGATCTCCTTGTGTATCCAGAAAACCTAAGAGGATTACTAAAAAAAACCATTAGAACTAATGAGTTAAGTAAGTTGGGTGGTCTACAAAATAGATGTTAAAAAAAAAAAATCAAGTTTTCCCATATACTATCAAAAATATTATGTATAAAGAAGAGAAAATATTAAGGAGAAGTCCAACTGGTGTTAACAACCAAAACTAAAAATTATCTAGGAATAAACATAAAAAGAATATGTGGGACTTTTATGAAGAAAACTACTGAATTTTACTGACCTTAGAAAAGTCTTGAATAAATAGAAATACCACATACCTGGATGGAAAGACCCAGTATTGTACCAGTGTAGATTCTCTCCAGAATAATTTATAAATTTAGGACCAACCAGTCCCAATTCCAATACAAGTTTTAGGACTTTGACAAAATGATTCTAATGTTCATCTGGAAAAATCAACTGACAAAAACAGCTATGAGAATATTAAAACGAAAATTGAGAGAATGCTTGTGGTCCCAGATACTAAAACATACTGAAAATATAAAACTACAATAAGCAAAACATTTTGGTTCTGGCAAAACAATAGGCAGATCATTGTAAACTCACACAAGTATAAGCATTTATTATATAATAAAGAGGTTATTTTGCTTAGGGAAAAGAGATTACTTAATAAATGCAGCTAGGATTATTGGTTAAAATTAGGGAAAAATTTAGATGGATTAAAGAGTTAAATGTAAAATTTGAAACAGTAAGAATTAACAGTATATACAAGTGAACATTTACATACTCAACATTGAAAAAGGCTTTTTAAAGCATAAAAACTAAGGCAAAAAACTACGAAGAAAAATATGATAGAATTGAGTATGTGAAAACCGAAATCATCTTTCGGCAAAAGAAGCCAAGAACAAAGGAAAAACACTGAAAAAAAAATTGACAGGATAATATCCCTTAAGATATTAAAAATTAAAAAAGATGAATAACCAATACAAAAACAGAAGTCACTTTTTTTCCACAAAATACAAATGGCCCATAAACATATGAAGAGATGTGTAACTTCACTGATAATGAGGGAAGTGCAAATTAAAACAACAAGATGAGAGACCTGTCAGAGATAAAAGAAAACGGTGCTTATGAGAGTGAAGTGAGGTGTGTATTTTCATACATTGCAGGTGGGACCATGAAGTGGTTCAACCTTTCTGAAGGGCAGCTGGGAGACATGCATCAAAATTTAAAATGTGCATACCGTGTTACAACCAGCAATCCCACTTGTAGGGTTTTATTCCAAGGTGATTTTGGAGAAGTAGGCGAAGACATATACAACGATGTTCACTATGGCATTGTTTATAAATCTGAAAACTGGAAATTACCTTGGTTAAGTAGATTATGGAACATCTCTTATGGTTTCTGTCCATACGAGAGGATACTTTATAGCTACTATAAATCTTCTTAGAGACTCTACTGCTAATTGTTAAGCATGTATGCTGATGGAAAACTGACCAGAAGGATGTCCATCACACTAGAGAAGGCAGACGTTTTTGTCTGTTATTTTCTGCAGCTCTTAGAACAGGACCTAGTACATAGTAGATGCCTAAAAAATATTTACTGAACAAATGTTTCCTGCAATTGCAAGTGTGACTTTACTTAGAATTTTGACCTAATAAATTTTATCTTTAATAAAAAGGTGGTGGTGGTGGTGGTGGTTAGGTGCCTTCGAATGGATTTTGACTCATAGTGACCCCATGTGCTGGAGTAGAACTACCTCATGGGGTTTTCTAGGCTGTAATCTTTACAGGAGCAGATTGCCAGGTCTTTCTCCTGTGGAGCTGCTGGGTAGGTTCAAACCGACCACCTTTCAGTTAGCACCTGAAGACTTAATCACTGTGCCACCAGGGCTCCTTGTTGTGGTATTAGTCCTTTAAAAAGGTTTCCACAAGAGGTAGTAGATGAATTGTCAGGGTAGAAAGACTTACTGAACTTGAGGTGCTAAGGGCTGTTTAAGAGGGTTAAAAATATTTTAGATGATATTGCTTTTACCCCCTTAACAGCTCTGTTGAGGTATAATTTATACACCATAAAATTAATCTGTTTTATGTATATAGAAACCATCACCACAACAGTTTTAGAACATCACAAAGTTCTCTCATGCCCCTTTGTAGGCAATCTCCACTCATCTCTGGCGCCAAGCAACCAACAGTCTGCTCTCTCTCCATGGATTTGCCTTTTCTGGACATATCACGTAAATGGAATCATACATTTGTCTCTTGCATCTGGCTTCCTTCACTCAATTGTTTTGCGGTTCATTCATGTTGTAGTATGTATTGGTACTTCCTTTTGCTGAATAGTATTCCATTGTATGGACAGACCACATTTTGTTATCCACTCATCAGCTGATAGACATTTGGGTTGTTTCCACTTTTGGGCTATCATGAACAATACTGCTATGTACATTTGTGTACAAGTCTTTGTGCGGACATGTTTTCATTTCTCTTGGGTACATACCTAGGAGTGGAAATGTTGGGTCATATGGTAACTGTTCATGAGTTTTTCTGTATCCCTTACCAGATATATGTTTTGCAGATATCGTCTCCCAAATGGTGACTTGTTTTCTTGATAATATGTAAGGTGGTCATTTGTTTTGGTAGACATGGCTTACTAAGCCCTTACTAAATGCTTCCACGTACTGTGTCTAATCTTCACAACACCTCTGTGATGGACAGACTTTTATGGAAACTAGGACTCAGAGATGTTAACTTGCCCAGGTGATATAGCCAGGAAGTGGCAGAGTGGGGGCCTTGAGTCTAAGGAGTTTGGCTAGAGTCTGTGCCGACTCTTCTGATAGTGACATGGTACCCAGAAGCCTGGAGCCAGGGCCCACAATCCAAGTGAGTTTATCAGTTACCATCACACCCATTCAGGTACAGCACGCTCCCAAGCCTTATGCCTACCACAGTTTACATTCACATTCTAGAACCTAGGCGTCCACGTGGCAAGTGTGCACGTGAAGGTTCCATTAGTCCTTGTAAAAGCTGGCATTGGCATCAAGGTTCTTCCTATGATTCTTCCACACTGGCTCTGTGGCTCCTGGGATGGAGATGCAATCAGCAGGGTGGATTGTTCACAGAATCCTACCTTTCCATAGGAGCTGTCCCAACACTCCTCCCCCACCTTCACAGAGCAGAATAGCCCAAGCTAAAGACATAGATAGTCTTAAAAAAAAAGCTTTCTATCTTGAAAGATTCCAGGTACTGTTGATATTACAGAACAATCCGAAGCATTATCTTCCCAGAATCAACTATTTTAAACATATTCCAAATTAAATATCTTTTGGCCTCAGTAGATGAGAAGCAGGAGGAGCCCTGGTGGCACAGTGGTTAAGTGCTTGGCTTCGAACTGAAAGGTCGGCGGTTCAAACCCACCAGCTGTTCTGTGGGAGAAAAGACGTGGCCATCTGCTCCCATAAAGATTATGGCCTAGGAAACCCTATGGGGAAGTTCTCTTCTGTCACATGGGGTCGCTATGAGATGGAATGGACTCAACAGCACCCAACAGCAACAATACGATGAAAAGCAACTCCTTCCTAAGTCAGTGGTTTTACCTATCTTTTTATTCAGAGTGAAAATCCTTTTTTTTTTTAAATGAAAACTTTTAAAAAGATGTTGTGAGCAAAAAAGGTTTTTTTCCTCCAAAACACAGAAAATGTAAATTATCTAAAATTTAAATTTAGAAAACCAAAATATGTAATCTATGTAGAAAGACCAGAGGTAACAGGAGACCCAAAGGAAAGGTTGAGGATCACAGCTGTGGTCTACTGAGCACCTGCCCTGCTCCACGCCATTGCTGACGCACGTCAGTTTAATCGTCACAGCCCTCTGAGGAAACAGCATTAACTCCATTCCACAGAGAAGGGTCAGTGATTAGCTCACCAGAGCAGGTGCAGAGCTGGAACATAAACGCAGACTGCACAATGACTGCAGGATCATATTAATGCTCATTTTAATTAAACTCTATTTCAGAGAAATTTGAAAAACTCAAGGATGAACAGAAGGAGAAACTAAACATGTGGGTCAGTCATTTGTATATCTTTTTTGTGAACACGCTCTTCCAAGCATACAAACATGAAGAAACGCTAAAGGAGAAGATAAAGGAAAATAGGTTACATAATGCTGCAATGGCGCAACAGAAGAAAATTGAAAATGATGAACTGGAAGCAAGGTAATTTTACAAAATCCCTCAGTCCCTCCTCCATGAGCTCAGTTATCTTTCTTTCCAGTCTTCTATAGCTTCTAGAGGCATCGGGATCAAATCATGTCATTAAAAGTATGTAACTTTCTAAGGTTGTCATGTCCTCATACGGTACTGACAGCTGTAATTGCCTTGAGGAGCTCTGTGTCTAGCTACCCTCTCCTGGTTGCGTAAGGTGGTGATAATATCTGTGCCCCAAAGCTCACATGAAGAGGCGTGGCTAAGAGCAGGAGCTACAGTCCTAGGCTGCCTGGGTTCAAATCCCAGCCCCACCACTTAACACGAGGGTAACCATGGACAAGCTTCTTCACTGTTTCCTCATCTGTAAGACAGGGACAGGACCTCACAGGACTGCTGAGGACTAAGTGAGCTAATAAGGAGGCTTGGTAGCTCGGTAGTTAAGCACTCGGCTGCTAACTGAAAGGTCAGCAGTTTGAACTCACCAGCCGCTCTGTGGGAGAAAGATGTGGCAGTCTGCTTCCTTAAAGATTATATCCTTGGAAACCCTATGGGGCAGTTCTACTCCGTCCTATAGGGTTGCTATGAGTAGGGGAATCAACTTGACAGCAGTGGGTTTGGTTTTTTTGGCTTAAATGAGCTAGTATTTGTAAAGCTTCTAGAACAGTGCTCAGCACACATAAGCATCAGGATGAATGCTGCATACTCACCTTCTGAGAATGACGGTCAAGGCTCAGTCCAGAAGGGAACACTGGCCCTTTAAAAGTCATCTCTAGCCTGTTGGCCTACTGACTCAAGCATACTAAAGGCAAAAATAAAAACAAGAGGTATTTTAAAAGGCTACTTCAGAGCTACTAAGTTGTTACAGAGAAAAGTGGCTGATGAATCACTTTGGATATATGAAAATTTTATTTTTGACCGTCTAGCTATAGCGTTGACGTCCCCCGGTGGTACAGTTAAACGCGCCTGATTACTAACCAAAAGGTTGGAGGTTTGAGTCCACCCAGAGGCGACTTGGTAGAACGGCCTAGTGATCCATTTCCAAAAAAATCAGCCATTGAAAATCCTGTGGCACACAGTTCTGCTCTGACACACATGGGGTCGCCATGAGTTGGAGTCAACGGCCACTGGTTACTGGTTTAGATACAGCATCACCTTTTATTTCAGGCAAAGGGATGACAGTTTAGTTTTGTTTACAATGAAAGCTGAAATCCAGGTATGGACTAGTTTACACTATATGCAGCATAAAAACAGGTTTTGAAATTTCAAAGGGAAAAAAAGATAGATACCTTCTTACGTTTGCTTTTAGGCTGAGTATCTTGAGAGAGGAAGAGGCCAAGAGACAAGACTGTGAGGTCGACATTACTGTGATAAAGGAACCGGCAGATGCCCCATCCTCACTCTTGACACCAAGCCCTCCTAAAGAGGACACAGTGGCCCAGGCCAGCAAGTCCAGCACGAGTAAGAAAAAGAAAAAGTAAAGGCTACTTGATAACATAAATTAGCCATAAGAACATGCAAATGTAAAAGGCACTTCGAACTACAAGCAGTGTAACAAATTTACTGACCAATAAAATTGTGTTTTACTTCTTAATTTGTTATTTTTGAAATACTGGTACCTTGGCCCACTGTGTTTCACGTTTCTTACATGGATGAGGAGCCCTGGTGGCACAATGGTTAAGCGCTTGACTGCTGACCGAAAGGCTGGCGGTTTGAATCCCCCCAGCGGCTTTGTGGGACGAAGACCTGGTGATCTACTCCCATAAAGATTAAAAATGAAGATTAAAAAAATTACTTGAGCATGCGGCCAAAAAAAAAAAAAAAAGATTACAGCTTAGAAAACTCTATGGGGGCAGTTCCACTCTGTCACGAGGTCACTATGAGTCAGAATGAACTCTGCAGCACCCAACAACATATGGATAGATCACTGAAATTCCTGCAGTTTGAAAACTGCGTTGAATGAAAATACAGGCATATACATATTAAAAGTGTCTATTAAATACATGTTTTAAGAAAACTATAATTCTAGTGATTAGGGTTAGAATCTTATAGAACTGATCAGAAGACAGTGGGGTCTGGACGACGTGATTAAATATTTCTTCCGAAATCCCCACTATCACCCTGGCCTGGAATACTGCCTCTGCCCCCTAACCACTTGCATCCAAATCCTGCCGGTCTCTCATGTGTGTCTCTTACATGGGCCTTTCCCTGGCCCCTTCTCACAAAGTCCCACAACACTGTACACTACATTTAACAAAGGCAAAATGACAACTCTGAGCAACAGAAAGGTAAAGAGCAGGCACTCTACAGGTGGTTAAATGAACACCTGTAGCCTTTAGTAGAAAATTTTATAGTAATAACGTGTTAAAATTTAAGGGTAACCACCAAAAGAATAAAAATACAATCCATAGCTTTCAACCTAGCAGGAGGAATACAGAAAACTATCAATCCAACAAAAAGGAGAACAGAAAACAAAGGAAAATGGTAAACAGGAAACAGAAGTTGTAGAAAACTAAATATATCAGTAATTGCCAGTGTAAACAGATGAAACTCACCTACTCCCTTTTCAAAAAACAAAACCAGAGATTGATTAGATTGGATTAAAAAGTCAATACTTACGTCATTACTCTTTACAAGAGAAGCATCTTAAAATCACACAGAAAAGTTGAAAATAAAGAGGCAGAAAAAGATGCCCCAGGCAAATCCAATCGACGACGGCAACAGCAAGCAATATTAACAACAGACAAAACAGAATTTAAAGCAAACATCTGCATAGTAAAGCTAAAAAGAAAGATAATGATAAAAGAACCAACTGCCAAGAAGATGCAGTTACTCATCTGCATCTTACGTATCAGCCTTGCAAAAGCTGACAATTTAGGGAGGAAAACTACAATCATGATGGAAGAAACAGATCAGGAAGATAAAAAATAAGGACAGTGATCATTTAAGCAACGCAGTCCTACACCGCATAATGTCCGTTCAGGCAACGTCTGACCGCATATACGTCTATGGTCCAGTAAGGTTTTTTTTTTTAAAAAGGGAAAGCAGCTCACCTTTTGTTTATTATTTCCCCCTGATGGTTGTAAAGACCCCAATCTCCAAAATGAGCAGCGGGGCTCCAGGGCGCGTCCCAGTCCCCGCAGTGCCTCCTCCTCCAACTCTTCTTCCTCCTTCCCCTCCTCCTGGCTTCATTCACCCACCCAGCAGCCATGTAGCCATTCACTTCCTTATGTGGTGCTGGCAGGGGCACTGGCAGGCCCCAGGGTGCTCGTGGGCTCCCAGTTCTGGGCAGCGGCTGCACATGATCAGGAAGAGGCCACACAAATAGGGCGGCTACTGCCACCACCAGGTCCACCACCAGCCGCACTCCTGGCACCCACACACCCAGTCCCTGTGGCCACCTCTCTGTGCCCCCACACTCTGCACCTGGATGTGCGCAAAGTCCCTGATCTGGCTGCCGGCACAGCCCCTGCTTAGCCAGCACACCCAGCAAGGCCAGCCTCCTGTATCCAAGTGGATACAGCTCTCAGGCTTTGTCCGTCAGGGCTTCAGGGTCCAGGATGCTCCTGCTCGTATATAATACGGTGTTCTAACAATGTCCAAATAGCCTAACATCCTATTTCACAAAACATGTCATGGATGGTAAGCAATGCGTGACTATACTTAGAAACCAGAATACAACAGAATAAACACTGACAAAAAACTGACCATGTTTTCGGTCAAAAAGTGCAACAGTTTCCAAGGACCCATCACAGACTATGATCTCATTACAGTGCAATTAATTAGCCGTCACCAAGGAATACACTCAACAGCACCTAACAGGATCGGAAACTAAACATGCAAATCTTATATAACTCCCGGGCTAACAGGAGATCACAATGGAACTTGTGCTTATTTAAGAATGAACGACAAGGAAAATGCTACAAACCAATGAAAGTCATGAAGGTTCTGTGCAGAGCCACTTTCAGGGCTGGGACAACACCTGATTTTCTAAACCACTTGGAAGTTGTCCTCAGTACTCCTGGCTACTTTTCACTCAAACCCTGGGATGCCAGACCACCAGAAATTAGGTTAAATTGAATAAAATTCACCCAGGCTTAACATAACCTGTGAAGATGGAGCCCGAGTTGTACCTACCAAGAGTTCTACCTACCAAATGAAGAATGCTTATGTGTAAACCACAGACAGGGCACTTTCACTGAGTTGTGTTTTACATCATCTAAAAGTCACTTTAGTATTCAGGCTACAAAGCAAGTCTAACAGTTATTTTGGGCAAATGCCCCATTCATTATTCACCACTCCAGGTCTAGTGACAGGGAAGGGACTCCAACTAAGGACATGCGTGTTAAAACCCCAGGGCACGAGCCAGGGGCCACTGGCAGGGCTGCCACAAACAGGCAACAGGAGTCGGACCAAATGCAAAGCCAGAATTTTAAAAACTTTAACAATTTATTAGCCTTATTTTCCAGTAAAATATTCACATAATGTCAAAAGAATGGAATGAGAGAGATGGCGCAGACTACCTTGAATTAATTCCACATAAATATGTAAAATCTAAAAATCTCCGGGGATCATCAGTTTAGAGACTGAGTAGAAATCGGATTCTTCCAAGCAAGTATTGCTTTACTATTGTCATTAATCCAGTCACCAATATGACTAATAACTGGCAATGGTAAACAAAATGTTGGCTGAGTTGTTTCTTTAAAGGTATTTCCAGGGAGCCGGTTATCAGTCAATCCAAGAAGAATATGTTATTGAACTGCGTTGCACAAAGTTTCTTCACCTCTTCTGCAAAAACAACAGAAAACAGTAAGGAATAGAGGTTACCACTTAAAAGGTATATGATAAATGTTAGTCCCTTAAATTTTTCTGGAGTAAAGTTGGGGATAAGCGTCTGCATTATTTTTGACCTTAAATCTCACAAGCCTAGGTAAGAAATGTTAACAAAAACAAGGGAAAAAAAAAAAGAAACAAATAAACGCAAGAGACTTCAATGCTATTTAACATACTGAACAGTGCTGCTCTGGTATCCAGAGACGTTTAAACCCAGCACCCAAAGTGCCTAAGATAACCACAGAGTAGAGGATAAGGAGGACAGCATCTAAAATGCAGTTTTTCTTGAGAAATGCGATGCAACAACAAAAGAACTCTACTTGCAACCCTGAACTAGAGATCAAGTGCTCCACTGAGGTACAAATTCTCTTGATTTTATGCAATTTTAAATGAGGCACGTATCTACTGATGTTTCTAATGCACACGACTATTAATACAAGCGTTACTATAAAGAGAAACACTTCCACCTTGTATCAAGTCATCTATAAAAAAATGCCTTAGAAGATATAGGCAAAAAAAAAAAAAAAGGTTCACACCTAACCTTGTTTACAGTTTACACTGGGGTGCAGCTTCCCTAAATGCACCACTACTTGCTCCATGTCTACATACAAGGCGGCAAAGGAGCTCACAGGAAGGTGAGGCTACCATTTCCTCCAGGGCAACAAAGCTGTCAGGGTCACAGACAAAGCAATTGTTCTGATCACACTGTATAGAGGACCAGACCAATTGCTTTGGATGAAAGATGGAAGAAAAATTCTACAGTATTATTCTGCTGATATACAGATAAATCTAGCTGTAAACTGCCATATAAGCCTGGCAGTTCTGCATACAAAATATGTATTTTTATCATAGGAAAGTTAAAAAGGACATTGTTATACATGGTATGGAAAGGCATGGGCTTTTTCTTTCTTTTAGCATTGTAAAAAATAATTTTCTTTTGGCCACTGCCAAGTTTCCCATGATTCAGGAAAGTTTGTGAGATATTTTTTCAAGGAACTCTGCTACAGAAAAACATAAAATGAATCAAATGCTGGTGTCCTTTAAGCACTGGAGGCATCTGCCTGAAATCTCAAAAGTCAGGATTTGTTCTATTTACCATGTTTCTTAATTCACTGAGTTTTTTTAAATACCAGTGGCATTAAAATTAAAATTTTGCTCAAGTACCAAATCCTATTTACCATTTACTTCAATCAGGTTTGCATTTTTTTGATTCAAAATAACATACAGCTCCCGCTGATCAGACTTTTTCCCAACAACCCAATAATCACTCATCGCTTTCACGATGATTTCTTCATCTTCATCCACTCTGTAAGACAAGAATTTCAAAGTGCAACTGTTTAGCAGACAGACAACTAGACTGCGAAAAACAAACATTCTAAAACGAGACAGGAAACTGGTCACTTGGAAAGCTCTGGGAGTTGGCTGACCACATGTGGGTGGCCAGCTGCTCGTGGGCGGACTGATCCACCTGTTCACAAGTGGAGCCCATGAAGGTGGTCAAGCGGAGTACTTGAAGGGGCTTTTGGGTCCCTTGGTTTTGAAAAGGATGCCCTGCATATAAGTTCTCTTACTAGAAAAGGGACACCTAATGTGAGGCATTGTTAAAATTACCTAGTGAAATCACTGTTGATGTCACCTAGAATCTTCATGAGATCAGGATGAACGGACGTAAGTGACACACTGGGCGTTTTCCTCATGTGAATTGTACTTTTCTCTGCTAAATTCATATGGTTGAAGTAGATAAATTTAAACTGGGGTTCTTTTTCAGACCTGTGGAAAAAATGTCAATGACATGGCAAATTCTGAAAGAATAATTACCCAAATTATACAACTACACTGTTAAAACATTAAAACCTTACAGCTAAGGCCATGTATTTTCAATGGCTGGGCCTACAAATCAGGAATCTCAGTTAAGATGTAACAACCTATTCATTTATTAGTAAAAATATCCATGCGAGTGAGGTATTCAATACGATGGAATTTTCCAGAGAGCTGAGGTTTTTTTTAACACCAAAAATATTTCAATCATTATGTGATTATTTTCCCAGTGAAAGTAGTGTTTTATAAATGGTAGTTTATAATTCGCACTCAGTTATTTCCTTGACTTCTATTTTAAATGCAAACTATCAATATAAGCCATTTATCTGCTAGGAGAGGGGTCAGTGAACTACAGCTCTGTTTTTCTAAATAAAGTTTTACTGGAACGTGGTCATGCCCATTTGCTTATATATTGCTGTCTATGGTATTGCCTGTGGCTGCTTTTGCTCTAAAGCAACAGAGTTAGTAGTTGTGATGTATCTAGCCCACAAAGCTTAAAATATTATCTGGCCCTTTACAGAAAAAGTTTGCCAACCTCTGTTTTAGGAGAGTAATACCTCATTCATCCCAGGGTTGGGGAATGAACGAGGTATTCCTCATAAGCAAATGGGCCATGTACTGAAGCTCACTACTCTTCCTAATGCCTCTTAATCATCCTAAATGAAAATCGTTCTAAAATGTATTATCTTTTCCTGCTTACGTTTAATGAACATATTCAGCAGGGTATACCTCTTTATTTTTTAAAGTGACTCTGGGCAAGGCTACACTACACAGCTCATCCTCACCTCACCTCTGCTTGTACCCCTACTTGACACACTGGGGTCTGGGGGAGAGCCCGAGCACAGCCCTGCCCTTGGGGACTCAGAAGCCTTCTCTGCTTACGTTAGGGTTAGCAGCCATGTTCTGGAGGGCTGAGGGTGCTGGAAAGCTGACCTCCGGGTAAGTGGGTTACTACTGTAATACTTTATATCTAGGCAAAGAAAGAACGTGGATGATTTAGTTTCCAGGAAAATAAAATTCTTCCAAAACCAGAATTCGTTTTTAGAAGGCCCTTAAAACTAAGAAAAGTAAGTATAATTACAAGTAAAACTGGAAAAATGAAAAATTCAAAAGCTATTTGGGAAGAGATGCAAATATAGTTGTCTAAATTTCTAACCCCAAAACACTGTGTGGCTTTCCTTCTCCCCTTGTTTATAATATATAAAATATCCTTTTAAGAAGATTTCAATGATTTCTCGTGCACCCCCAAACAGAAATTTACAGTAGAAAATGCTACTTAGGTAGTTAAGATGGGCAACTGTGGACTTTTTCTATTCCCACCCTCCATGAAGGGTAAAAATAGAAAGTTATTTGCAAGGTAGTGTCAATGAAAGAAGAGACCCACTCACACAAGGATAATATTCATTCTATAACCTTATTCGCTTATGAAAATTAACATCTAATAGTGTGCTAGTTTTGAATTAGCAGCAGCCCCATTTATCTGTCATCTTTCCAAAGAGTGAATACTTAATCCTTTTTAAACACCAACACATTTTTCTCAAACACAAAATTATACAAATGTCTTGCCTTCTTAAAAAAGAACGTACTAGCAGACCTAATGGGCAACACCTGCCCAAAAGCAAAGACTAGAAAGCAGGCAGGGACAAGAAACCTGGACGAATGGACACAGGGAAGCCAGGGTGTAAAGGGAAAGGAGAAGAGTGCTGACACATTGCGGGGCTTGCAACCAACGTCACGAAACAATTTGTGAATAAATTTTTGAATGAGAAACTAATTTGTGCTGTAAACTTTCACCTAAAACACAACTGAAAAAACACAGAACATACTAAAACATAGTGCATATATGTGTGTATGTATACACATCATGTTTAGTAGAACTCTTGTTGATGCCTTCTTATAAAGTTTGGTATATAAAATACCATAGCACAATAGTGTTATCTTCAAATAAACACATGGAAGGGTGGAGTCTGCCTTAAGTGGTTATATTCTATGCCTTTTCAATATGCCCACTAATTTTTAAACAGATTCTCTGCCTTCTGAATTACCCACCTTTTTTTTTTTCAATTGTTCTTTAAATGAAAGTTTACAATTCAAGTTAGTCTCTCATACAAAAATTTATACACACTGCTATGTGACCCTAGTTGCTCTCCCCATACTGTGACAGCACACTCCTCCTTTCCACACCGGATTTCCCATGTCCATTCAACCAGCTCCTGTCCCTTTCTGCCTACTCATCTCGCCTCCAGATAGGAGCTGAACATTTAGACTCATGTATCTACTTGAGCTAAGAAGCACACTCTTCACAAGTATCTTTTTACGTCCCACAGTCCAGTCTAATCTTTGTGTGGAGAGTTGGCTTTCGGAATGGTTTTAGTTTTGGGCTAACACAGAGTCTGGGGGCTATGTCTTCCAGGGTCCCTCCAGTCTCAGTCAGACCATTAAGTCTGGTCTTTTTACTAGAATTTGAGTTCTGCACCCCACTTTTCTCCTGCTCCGTCAGGGACTCTCTGTTGTGTTCCCTGTCAGGGCAGTCACTGGTGGTAGCTGGGCACCATCTAGTTCTTCTGGTCTCAGGCTGATGGAGTCTCTGGTTTATGTAGCCTTTTCGTCTCTTGTTACCTGCCATTTTTTGCTGTGATTAGCATCACAATGCCTTCACATTCCTTTGCATTTTTTTTTCTACTATAGGCTGAAATTAGGGTAGTGGCGGTTTTGTGATAGAATTCTTGCTTTCCATGTGGGAAACCCGGGTTTAATTCCTGGCCAAAGGACCTCAAGTGCAGCTACCACATGTATGTCAGCAGAGGCTTGCGTGTCGCTATGATACTGAACTGATTTCATGGAGCTTCCAGACTAAGACAAACTTGGAAGAAAGGCCTGGTGATCTACTTTTGAACATCACCCAATGAAAACCCTCTGGATCACAACAGCCCATTGTGGGTGGGGTCCCCGTGAGTCAGGGATGACTCAGTGGCAGCTAACAACAACAACACAGGCTGAAAACCCAAGTAGCTGTGACTGGTAGGTGTCCAGAGAGATCGTGAGGAGCTCTCCCATAAGTAGGCAGCATTAATATAACTGAGATGCCAGAGATTTGAATGTTTAAGGACCAGGTATATGAAAACGTTCTGTTTTTCAAAAACATGCCAGGAAAGTTTGCTAAGATCTCTGAACCAGCAGATGTTCGACGAGCACCTCACTGCTTACACAGCATCACCTGTTGGACTCTAACCTCCTTTTGTGAGCACAGAGACAATCTCATTGTTTTTTTTTTTTTTGTTCTTGGCTGGGTTCCAGATAGCTACATTTGAGAGAGATGTAACTTCTAGATGAATTTGGTCACTGTTGTTCCTCACTTAGCAGATACAACTAAAGGATAAAAAGAAAATTCTGAATCGATAAATCTGGGATATTGTGATAAGGAAAACTGGCCTTAAGTTATGAGTTACATGTTAAAGTTTTTTTCTTACCTGCCTCTCTAGAGTAATCAGGAAGCAAGAGAGAGCTAAGAATCCTTGTAACTTGCATGTTAACCTTTCCCTGGAAGAAAGACTTCCTTTGGCAAACTTGACCATTACCATTACAATACCACTGTGCTATGATCTGTGCTGTCATCGTTGGATGCCATCCAGAAGTAACCCCACGTGACAGAGCAGAACTGCCCCACAGGGTTTCCCAGGCTGAAGTCTTGAAAGAAGCAGACTGCCAGGTCTTTCTCCTGCAGAGCCGCTAGGTAGTTTTGAACTGCCAACCTTTCGGTTAGCAGCCGAGTGCTTAACTGCTGCGTCACCAGAGCGCCTTCACTGTGTTACATGCATGGCTAATTTTCCTTCCTCACTTTTCCTCCTGATCTCTGTGTCCAACCATTACCAACACTTATTGTTAATCATTGTACTCTTCACTTCATGTACCAACCAGCGGAGTCAACCTCTTAATCAACCGGGTTATTTTCAAATTAAGATGGATTGATAAAAAAGGATTATAAAAGAATTACTCACAAGAAAGAGTACCCTTTTCGAATAACTTTCTACTTCCCCCTCCTCATGTCTTTTCATGTTTAGTGTTAAAATTAGCTAATAAATAAGGATACGTGAAAGAAACAGAAACTGAAGTCTCAGACTGGGAAACCTGAATATCGAATTAAAAAAAAAAAATCCTTTGCCGTCGAGTCAATTCTGACTCATAGCAACCCTACAGGACAGAGTAGAACTGCCCCATAGAGCTTCCAGTGAGTGGCTGCTGGATTTGAACTGCCAACCTTTTGGTTAGCAGCCCAGTGCTTAACCACTGCACCACCAGGGCTCCGATTATTGAATTAGGGGAAAAAAAATTAAGTCAGATCTTTCCTCAAGCCCTTAAAAATTCCAGGTGACTTAAAGATTTAAACACACACACACACACACACACACACACACACAAATAAAACCATAAAGTTAGAGATTAAAATGAGATAATATTTTAATAATATTGGAGTGCGAGGGCTCCAAGTATGACACTAAAGACAGAAATTTAAATGATTAATAAAATTGACTACATAATCCCCAAATTTCTATATTATATAAAAAATAGTAAAACTAAAGTTAAATATAAATAAATTGGGGAAAATATGCGATATGACTGAAGATTACCGTCCTTTATGTATAAGCAAGTAAGAAAAGATAAAACACTTCAATAGAAACAGAGCCAAAGGACATGGATGACAATTCATAGGAGAAACACAAATGCCAATAAACACACAAAGAGATGCCCAACCTCAGTGCCACATACTGGACTGGCAAAATACAGAGTGTATGAAGAACAGGTGAGGTGGCGTAGGGCTCTGGGATGAGTATAAAATGGCACCACTCTTCTGGGAGGTGATCTGGCAATGTGCGTTCATATTTCAATTGTACATTCTCTTTGCCTCAAAACTTAATTCTAGGGATTTATCCTAAGGGAGATAATTAGATGCA